GAAATGTCTGCTTGATTTTTGCAGCTAGGAGGGTTATTTTAACTGAATTGATTTCTTGAGACAAGTATTTCAGTAAATTTCTTCTCGTGAGATGCAACGTCAACTGCTTTGCTGCCTCACACGGATGCCAATTAAATTTTCTGATTTCTTGTGAAAGCTAAGCATTTCAGCAGCAGAAGAATCTGGCCCTTCAGCAATCATGGTCCAGTGAAATGTTTCTACCCATTTCTCACATAAATCGATTTTTTTTTTCTTGAGACATAAATCCATGGCATTAATGTACTAGGTTTTCGAAAACAAGATGTTAATATCACACACATACTGAACATACCGCAACTTGACAGTTCAGCTTCTCAACTTCCTCTGAGAAATTGAGATTAGATATAAACACGGATTAAAAAAAAAAAATCCAATAAGAAAAAAGACAAACTCACTGTTTCTCTGTATGTGGAAAGGAGATAAGGTTGCCATTGTTTGGCATGTGTTTAAAGCCTGTTTTCATCAAAAGAAACAAGTCATCACAGTGAAAGCTTTCTTCCCCCAACAGGATACAGCATAAAATCTAAACTACAAGCTACATGTAGTATCTTACTTATTTCCCTCCCATATTCCTTGCTCAGCAAAGTCTAATTATTCTCAACAACTAGCTTAGCTTGTATTTATAACCACAACAAACTAACTTGGTGCTGCAGTAACAAACCCAGACCAGAGAACATCGAAAGCCATTAAGTTAGAACAGCTTAGCTATTCAGAGGAGCAAACTCCTTAATCCCTTAACTGGGGAAATAAACACTTCGGGTCACAATAATTTGTTCTCCACTTTTTCAGTTTTCAGTGTTCGCTGGAGATAAACCTTTACAGAGTATTTTAACTTCCACAATTCAGGCTTTATTATTTCACAAAGTTTAAGACAGTCACATCAAATTTCCCATGTTGCTCATATTTATAGGGCAGGATTTGTTCATTCCATTTGTTTTGGGAGGGATGAGTTTTTTTTCAGCTGTACTGCCGATTCCCTTATGTCTTAATGCAAGGGAGAGAATAGTTGTTGAGCACCCGCAAGTGCCACAAAAAAGCCCTTTTTGCAGTTAGCTTGTTTTCAAGTTGCATGAATCAGTTACTCAGAGAAGATACTCCTTGTGTACCTAGGGTACACCACATCAAGAGGCATGAGTGAGAAGAGGATAAAAGGGAAGGATCACACGAGAGTAAACTGCATAACCCACAAAACTTCGAGAACATGGGAGGCATGCTATTCTTCTGAAATACGAGTTGGAGGGGCATGCAGAACCCTTAATAAAGGGTAAGAGTGATGAGGCATAAGCATAAAGGAATTCAGTGTGCATGAGCATAAGCCACCTGTGTTTCCTCCAAAATAGCCAGTATTCAATGGGGACTACGACAATCTAGCAATCAGAAAGAACAATCTCATGAACAAGTTGCACAAAGACACGTTTCCCTTTTTCACTACTTTGTAATCCAATGTTAGGGAACTGTAACTGGGAATTGTAGTTAAAGAACACGCATTCACAAACAAGTTGTGCTGTATTTGGCATGACTGCTTTATGGAAACCTCACATGCAAGGGAAGGTCAAGCTGAAAATAGAGCTAAGCCGTCATCTTCCGTAGTGTCAGTCTGATGTCACGTAATTGTAACGGGTACCCCACCTTCCAGCTTGTTGTTTTTCCCCCCTACACACAGGAAAGATTCTGACAGACAGGAGCAACAATGAGATCGCAAGAGGGGCGACAAAGTGACAGATGAAACTGGAACAATGCTGTGCAGTATCTGTTGTATTAACAGCAGTTGCTACAGCCTAAAACTTATTCAACAAATGAAAGGTGTGCATGAAGTCCACAGAAAGAAGTCACTGTCATCGCACTGTCTAGGAGTTTACCTTCAAGAATGTTTTTGTCCACGCTTAAGCTAGCTGTGGCATCCTTCTACTGCCTGATACAGAGCTACACAAACATAATATGGTCGAAGCCTTGGCTGGTCTACTTTGAATCAACTGCTGGTGCTGCAAATTAACCCCCGTGGCAGTAAGTGTCACAATTACAATTGTATTCCTTTGTATTCGATCCTTATTTATTGCTTTTTTACTGGATACTACTGCCATTAGGTCCTTCTCCATCATTCCTTAAATCAGATCCCGTTAGTACAAATACCAGGAGACAATGAATATAACAACTAGTTTTTTATTTCTAAAGCTGTATTTTTCTGACTGAAAGGGTAAAAGCAGTTTGCCTCTCAAAAGGCAAGATATTAACGATCTAATGATTTGCGACAGACTATTGTCCTTCAGGAACGCCAAGTCGCTCGCTTCTCGGAGCAGGCTGCAGAACCCTGCTTGAGCAGTCATCTCCTGCCATCGACATACTTGCAACTGTCACCCCTTTTCTAGTTGTGTTATGAAGAGTGACAGAAGGCTATTGGAGGGCAGAGTCAATATTACTTGAGCTTCACTGGGCAAAACCATAGTTTTTATAGAATAGTGTCTATAATATGGATGCTGCACTTCCTGGTGGCCCGCAGTTTCTTGCTGGTGTCCTCAGACAGTGTCAGCATACGGAGGGTAACAAAGCAGTGCTCAGTTACTCATCCATTTAATCTGAAGCTAGGCAGAAGGATCAGCCTGAAGTTCACCATGTCCTCTGTCCCGCTCAAAAATGCTTGGCAGGCTGCACAGCCTTCAGCACCCGAGTGTCACGTAGCCTACATCTCTCCTGATTAAGAGACAGAGGCCCAAAGGAAGTACGTCTCACCGAGATGCATGCCAGATACAGCTTGTGAGAAAAAAAAAATTTCCCCAAATCCCCAAGGAAAGATGATTTTTACTTGGGAAGCTAAAAGAAAAGCTAAATATAAACAGGAAAAGGAAGGAGATTTTTGTTAGAGCTTTGATGAACTCTTCACTACTGTACTAGTATCCCACTTCTCCGATTCTACGGGGAAACGGTATTTGTAACCAGAAAACCTAGAAGTTTTGTAAAAGACCACAACTTTCTCTCAGAAGCTCAACTGCAGCTACAGGCCTTTGTTACAACTCAGCATGGTGATTCACGCCCTCCAGGAACAAGGCTAACTTTCAGTCAAGCTCAAGCTGTAATTTCAGACAGTGTTTTGGATTTGTGAAGAACTAATTCACTTGCATCTTAACAGTAAGAAACCACTCAGACCAACAGCTATTAGAAGTCATCAGTCCAGCACTGAAAGTAGGCTCTTTTCAACCAAAGCTTCTTCCTTTCCTAGGTCCAAAGCAGTTCATTGTGGTCAAACTCCGGCACATTCCATGACGCACATTTTCACAGAAGGTGCTAGCTTAGAGGATTCAAAAGCTAAGGTATCAAACAGCACCAAAGACTAAGCTAAAAAAACCAGCTGCCTGGCAAAATGCACTTCATGCATAGCTTAGAACCTACGGGGAGGTTCGTTTGAAGAATCTAAACTCACACTGAAAAGGTAAAAAGTTTCTAATTAGGTGAGCTGGTTTGAGTTTAAAGGTGTTTTTCAATACCACGCTTTCTGGAGAACATGCAGGACTCTAGGGATCATTACTCGCCTTCCAGCAAACACAGCCAAAGTTGAAAGCAAGTATCAATGCACTGTAGGAATATTAAGTGTTTACATCAGGAAAACAAAGGAATGATAGAACAGTATATAAATAATTATTTCCCAATTAAAATAATTTGGATTTTTTAAAATTTGCATTATCATGCACGAAAGTCTTCTGTGCCATCACTCATGTGAACGTGAAGCAAATTAATGAACACAAAGTAATAATGGAGTTAAGAAAAATACAAGACAAAACCCATGCTGCTTTGTTTCTTACCACTTGGTTTTGCTAATGCTCCTGCCAGACTTCGACAGTAACCTAACAAGTGCCAGTTTTATCAGCCGGTTCCACTACAATGATCCTGTGGTTTAGGTATTAGTCCCAGTTCAAAAAGTTTTCTTTCGTACTTATTGTAACTTTAGTCCCCCGAATACATATTTTTAGCCATCTGCTGCCTTATTTACAAATTCAAGGAGAGAATGGTGGTGGCGCCACCACAGCTTTGCTAGAGAAAAGCAAGCGCTGGCTTCCAGTTCTTCAGAAGAAGGATTAGAGTTACTTACAGGCAAGGAGGATTGCGAGGTCCGGTGGCGGCACCAGCCAGTACCCCTGACGTACTCACCGCAGGTTTGGAGCAAGACGAACGAGATGTCGGATACGTGCTAATCGCTGGGAATGGGCACACACGCTGACCCTTGCACCACGGGGCACCAGCGGTGCAGGATGCGCCGCTCCGGGATCCCAGGTGGGGAGAAGCTGTGCTTTGCTTGGCCTAGGCCATGGATCATCGGGGCTTCAGCCATGACCACAGAGTTTCTAACTTGATACACCCATCTTCATCTAACTCGACGAAGTCCTCCTAGGCTTCCAAATCTATAACTTTTTTTTTTTTTAACATGACACTAGTGGGGGTTTTCTTACTTGTTTTTTATCAGGTAATCTTGCTAATGAGGGTATTAGTAGGCAGAGGCAATTTTAAAGGATACACTCAGGATTTTTGCTGCTTTTCCCCCCTGTGCTGTTACAGTCTTTACATACCACGCAAATACACGCGACAGCGGAGAGCATGCCCACGCTCTGCAAGCAGCGGGACGAAGGCAGAGGAAGACAAGCGAGTTACAGGGGAGGCCTCTGCAAACGCCGCAGATGCTGCTTTGGGTGGGAAAGCTCCAAGACAGGTGCTAGCGCTGGGAAAAAGAGAAGAGGAAGAGCACAGGAGACGCAGGGCGGCGGGGCCCACCGCACCGAGGTGCCCGCT